CGTAGAAATATTAAAATTAATAAATCCACAAGGGAATCGCTAATATGGTATTTCAATATTCAACAATAAGTCCCTGCTATAAACTGTAAAAAATTTACAGAAATCTTTTTATATGAAATCAGAGAGCTGGCAATATCGCAGTTATTTGCTCTTTTCCATATTAATGTTGGAATTTCTTCACATTTATCGTGATAACACACATACCTATGTCTGATATATGTGTCTGTACCCACCAAATGTTGACCTAAAAGAAAATATAGCTCCTAAGTAATTCATAATCGCAATCGAACTGGTTCGAAACACCCAACTGGCAACAGATTTTCGGTTCGAAAATGGATTAGTTCGAAAGACCAAACTTACGTTATTTTATGATTTACTATGAGCTATTTTTAAGGAGTCTAGGATTTTACGCCAGCGAAGATTAAACCTTAACGGCTATGATAGTGCAATATCAGACCATATAATTAATTTATTCAATAATTCAACTGCGCCACCTAGCGAATTTTAGTATTCTATATCAACTCTAACTAGTCGTTGCTTGAAAAATGATTGTCGGTTGTCCAGTTAGATTTTGGTTCATATTATGCCAAGAGGCTACTGCATTTCACTACGGGGTTGTTTTGCGTTCCTACACATGCTATTTAAATGTAATGTTCGTTTACAATGATAATGCATATCTCGTACATACATACATTACGTGCTAACTGCTGGTTTTATTAATGTTTGCAATATATATATCTAACTGACACATAAACTAATGTGTGCGAATTGTAGACATTGACAAAAGAAATCCGCGAGTTGTTAATGACACCGCCGGCAAGAGACGGCGCACCTGCCTGTGTCGCGAAGACTTCGAAGTCATATTTTTAACTGCTTTTGGTTATAGTGATATCACTATACCTTTTATGATATATAATATTTGGAAATATAATTATGTTTCTGTTTTAAATTAAAACTATTTTGTTTGTAGAGGTACGACTAAAGCCTGGTTAAAGAGGAAGGTGCTAGACCGCAAGCATCCGCACCTAAGCCATCGTTAGGCTCATTGTGCTTCCACGTAGTAACCATATAAGCTTTATCCAGCAATTCAGTGAATTTAATTAAATATCTGATTTTTTTCAACCAACAAATTAATTACATATTCTTAATTCTAACTGCATTTTTTTTATCGCTTCGCAGTGATAAGAGTAGCCGATAGCGATAATTGCTATGTAAATACAAACGAGGTATATACACCTACATAAATACTTTCGTTTTCAATTATTTATGATAGACTCTTCGTGACTCATTTGAAATCCGGCGTCAGGTTTCTCTTGAAAAGTATTTCATAACTGATAGCAGCAAAGTTAGGTGTACCCTCATTATATGGTATATATTATATGTTGTGTATGTATTTTCTACCATATACTACATATTTTTTGTTACTTTTGAGAATTTCGTTAGCGGTTGTTTGATAATCCAGTGGTATTTACTTGTTTGTGTTTTCATTACGTTTGAAGTCACTTTTTTTAATGTTTTGCAGATTCTTATTTTAGCGAGTGTTCTTTTGTCGCTCGCTTAAACTTGTACGACAATAAAATATTTTGATAAAATTTAAAAAAAGTGGACTTTTTTTTAGAAAGCTGATGCAATAAATGATGCATTTTTGTTAAACTTATAAAATTGTGGTATTTTTTAAGAAAATTGTACTTGTCTACAAAAAAAAATTATCCGTAATTACTTTACTTTAAATTTCATAAACAAATGCTTTTAAGACAGTGCAGAAGCTTTTGAAAATGTTAAAAAGTAAAAAAAAAAATCATCGGCGGATGAGACCCATTGGAAAAAAAAATTTTTAAAGGAAGAATAATTTACGTGTGATCAGTGGTGCGGAAAAAGAAAAGGAGTAGTTTTAAGTGTTATAAATATATATCTCGATTTCCGACAGAACTACGCGTCCAATGGAAAAAAATTATATTGTAAAGTCGCAGGTAATGAAAAAATCTATAACTTTTGTATTAAAACTTTTTTCACATAACCTCAAAATTCATGTGAAAAATTAAAATAACTAATTTTTTGGTTTTTATTATGTTTCTCAAAAATTGTTATATTTCACCAAATTTGCGGTAAACTAAAGTTTTTACGTCCCAAACATGCTGTAATATTTTTGATTTAAAATATTTATTTTTTCATCTTTTTCATACTTCGAAAAAATTTTATATAAAAAAAACCATAATTTGCAACCGAAAATTCCCACGTCAAAATATCTAGTTTTATAAAAAAGTTGGTAGGCATTTTCTTCGTTGAAATCTTAAATTTTTGATGGTGTCAAAAACATACATTGTTTTCTCAGAGAATGGAAAAAAAGACTCCACTGAACGATACAAACCTGCTACTATAAAATAAGAGGTAAAATTAAAGAAAATTATTTCGGCTTTAATTACTGTTTTTTATTTATGTTGCCCAAATAGTTCGTCACCGCATTAGGCTGGGNAATAATGCTTTCATTGTTTGCATATTTAATTGTATTTAAGCCAAGTGCTCTACGACTGTCGGTAGCTAATTGTTTTGAACTCGGCTCGTCAATACAATACAATACAATACTACAACAATAATTGTGTGCAGTTGCCGCTTTTTGTTAAACCATAATTGTTTGCTTGTGGGCATTTACGAATTCAATGTTTCAGTGCCAGTTGCATTGCAAAATATAAAAAAGTGCAGAAAAGGTAAAAAAAAGAGCATACAAACCAAAATTATTAAATAAAATAAATGAATATAAAAAGCTTATGAGTGTAGTCGCTGAGTTATCAGCTTCAATAGACGTGTAAACGTTTAACGGTGACACATTAAGCGGGCGTGTTCTTCGTTAATTATTTAAGCGAGTGAAAAGAAATATATATTTTATTGTACTATATGCATAGCGTATATAAATAGGTGCAAATAAGCAGCTGCAATTGAAAACTTCTTTAGAGTTATTATAGATATGTGACTGTGTGGCTTCTAAAGCAAACTAAGAAACATTTGTGATATGTATGATAACGCACTTATAAAACATACATATATATATACATAAATATATATATATATAACATATATATATATATAACATATATTTATAAGTAGAAATTGTTACAATAAAAACCTTATGATATGAACGTAAACATTTTCTTATAGACCCACTATTATGGTATAGTAGAGCGCGCCTTATCGCTATTCATGTGTAATATTATATTATACGCATGTATATATGTATGTATATATACATATTTATATATTTATACATCTAAGATATATATATTTTTACATACTTCACATCCGTTGATTCTGTTTTGCTCCGTTCAGTTGAATACGTCGTTTCGCGAGAAGTGCTACTGAATTATTGCTGGAAAAAATGTTTCGTTGGTGCTGGTGAGTTTTGTGACTCCTTATTATTTTCTTCAGTTGCATGCTAAAAAAAATTAATTATTTTAAATGCAAATATGTGTAAAAAAAACTGATGTCAGACTTATAATTTCCGTGCATAACATATAGTACAGCAGGCAAAAATAACTGGCAAATTAAATTTGTGAAAAGTGTAGAAGCGTGTTTTTGGAACTAGTAGACATTGTGTATAGAAAAACTTTTAAAAATTGCCACGAGAAGAAGTCTACTTTTTACAATTACACTTATGCCTAAAATAAATAGAATGCTACTCAACATGCATACAAAATGTCGATCTGCCGAAGGAGCAGCGGAAATTCTTTGAGCAAATACAAAGTTGAAGCTTTAAGCTTCACTTGCGCTTCGCATGACTTATTTTGACTACATGCAATAATACCAAACCTAAGCAATTTAGCTGCAAAAAGTGTCCGTGCATGAGCGAGATCTATATTTTTGGAATTAGGCGATAAATTGGTTGAAATTTTACTAAATCATCAGTTGTTACACGCACGAGCTGCTGCTGTCGTTTTTGTTTTTTTATTAAGCTTTGTTGAGTCATGGAATCAAGCCATCTATGCGTGATATTATTAAATATGCACCGTTCCACGACAGTCGGGTCTCAGTAACAGGAGCGGATCCGGATTTTTATTCGTCCAAGGACTGTCAACTCGGCACCATTTCTCGAAATTGCTTCTGTAATGCTTTCTGCCGCTACAATAACAACAATAGAACTATGAAAACCTCTTATTGGATATAAACTAAATTTTAAGAGCGCATATATGACTTTGAATCAGATATTTAAGTAGTCTAAATATCTGCTACAAATGAAAAGACTCTGCAACTTCTTCCGAGATGTGAGTATCGTCTTTTCCTTTAACGAGTTCACTAGCGCAATGTGGCATCATAACCTTAGCTGCTGCGGCATGTAACTAGTATGCGAGAGTATTATAAATAGAGATTGCGAATTTTCCGTCCCGTTACTTAATTTGAAGTGCATTCGGCAGAAAATTGGTTTGTGCTGCCATGAACGGTAGAACGCAAGGCTTTGTTTATCATTAAGTCTGACAATTCGCTGACAATGAAACTTTCATTGTTTTATTCTTGTCTTGTACTAACTTTTCAGCTCGATTGAATGCTACTCGTTTACATTGTTGTTTATGGTTCAGTTTGATCTACTTAGCTCACACCAATATCCGATTGCTTCAAACACTCTCGCAGTTGACGTCTTTCTCTTATTTGGCAGAGATTTCCGATAATAATAAGCTATATCATGGCTATTAAGGTCAATCTCAAAATTTTTAAAGTAAGCCTGTCACAGCATTCTTGTAAAGGGAAGACTTTTGTTGTAGTCTCTAAATAGTTTTTTAGAGATTTCCTGCGTTAACAATGCTTTACCGGATATAAATTCAGGTCCGTACTGGCATAATGTCCAAATCCTTCGATCTAGAGCCAAAGTTCGACGTCGAAGATAACCGCACGTTGGTGTATTTTAGTGCTGACATAGAATTTTATCGTTTCTGTAGTTTCGTAAGACTTACAACCCTGCGTTACAATTCCTTTTTCAATTTCTTGTTTTTTTTTCTGTAACTGCTTTTCACAAACCTTCAAAGCAATAAATTATAAATTTCTTTGGCAGAAAATTTATTGTTATTATTTTTGCTCAACAAAATTATGCTTCTTAAATAAATATACTGCAATCACACTCGGGTTGTTTGCAAGCAAAGTGACTGGTCGAACGTCGAAGCAGTGCTCTAATGGTGTTGATCAATTGTGTGGCGAAGCATGGGATGTAAACCAAGTCGTCCGAATAGAAGAAGAGACTCAAGCTCAGAGTCATGTGGTTGTTGTAATCCAGAATGCGAAGTAACTCAACACGGAAGACGGGGTACACGCGGTCAGAGCCAAAGTCGATATGAAGCACCGCCGTTATGTCGCTCACATACAAATGTGTGCTTAAGTCCGTCAAAGTGTCATCTCATAGCCACGCGTGTGGTAATTTGTAAGAAGAGTCCCAATTAGATTTGTTCAGCGAACTCGACAATACAAATACATGAAATTTGTTTTGATTTGATATAATATTTGAAGTATTTTCCAAAAGGAAATGTCAAAGAATTATTTGGAATTTAAAAGAAAGTTGGAAAAATATTTTTGACTCAAAATTTCTGTTGTCAAAAGGGAAAAACGTGATTCGTAAACAAAATTCAATATTACAAATTCGCTTGTGGTCGTAGAACGGCGACCGGCCATACAAAACGCTGTCAACATTTCGGAGCACAAGCTGAAGCAGCTTTTACAAAATGGGCAATGTCGGTAGTAGTAATCGTAGTGATCCTTATCGATCTTCACAGCCTCAAAGCTATCAGTATTATGAGCAAGCAAGACCACAGATGCGGAATCGTGATCAATACAATGTATCAGGAAATGTGAACGAAGCGAGCGTGGGCCCACGTATTGTTGTGCACGGCACTCCGTACATAGACCGACCGAGCCAATATGAGGTAAGGGAACGGACACCGAAGAGAATACAAAAACACAGCACGCCGAAATCTTCACACAGCGGCGCAGAGATGTGTGTACGCGAGTTTGGCATTTCACCACAACGACCACAAGCAATATCAGAAACCTCTATGCTCTCAACACAGAGAACACCGCGGCGACCTCAACCGTTGCGACCTCCAATACAGGCACGTCCGCAACAACAGCAGCAACCAGTGCGCAATCCGATAGAATCGTGTAATTGTAAGGCCTGTCGCGAAAAGGATGAGAAATTAGCAGCATATGAGGCAGGTCCATCAGCCGCCGCCAACACAACTTACGTGTCACCTATCGAATTGACGTCAACTTCAACGGCACCAAAGCGTATTGCCTGCACCATCGACAACTCTTGTACTGGCTGTAGCCGTGGCGGTCAGGGCTACATAGAGCCATACTCAGCAGCGCGCAGTACAGCTTTTGACAGGAACTTGAATGACACGAGTCGTGAAAGGAACCGTAGAGAACAAAACGAAGTTTCTGTAGAACGTTCAGGAAGGAGTTGCTGCAAATATGCGGATGAAACTTATGCAAATACGTCGACGCGTATGCATCAGAGTTCCACACCAAGCGAAACCCAAACATCCAAGTGCAGGGGTGAAACCCAGCCAATTACATCGACGCGAATACACGAGAGCTCAGTGGGAAATGAAACCCAAACATCCAAATACATGGACGAAGCATATCCCATTACTTCGACGCGAATCCATAATAATACCATCTCAAGGGAAAGTCAAGCGTGCAAATATAGGGACGAAACTTATGCAGACACGTTTAACCGGATGCCTTCGAGCATCGTGCAAACCCAATCATCGAAACCAGCGCAATTACAAGTATGCTACGATGGCGGAATGATATCGAGGTAAGGTTATGTCGCGAGTCTGTCGAAATTTGTATGTGTATAAATCTCTCAAAGGATATGAAAGAGTTCTAAGAGATTTATTTATGAAGATAGCGTTTGAGTAGCGTAGTCGATGTGACGTAAAGTAATTATTTAAACTCAGGAAGGCTGGCCATTCAG